ACCAAATTTACAAGCGAAGGTACGATAACCTTGACGCGTTAAAGACTGCAGTTAGGGAAAAGATAACCCAGATAGATGGTAGGACCATACTTAAGACAGTTCGAGCAGTTGAAAAACGTGCCCAAAAATGTATTGAAGAACAAGGTGGTGTTTTCGAGCATCTTCTTTAAAAAAAATTGTTATTGTATTTTGTAAGATTATAAGTTGATGTTGAAAATAAAGTTTGTCGATACAATTTAATTGTTTCAGATTGGAGGCCATAACTTCAACAATTTGTAACCTAGGAGAAAAGTCATTATGAACTTTTTTGTTTAAAATTTGATGCTTTAACAGAAAAAAATATAATATACAGGGGTTTCCATTTAAAAAAATGTTATTTTACTGAAAAAAATCAAAATAACGACTCTCAATTGTTTTTTTTTATTTCTCATTTTTACCAGCGTTAAAAATGCTACTAGTTTGCTAATTCAAACAACTTTGTATTTTCACTAATAACAAAGTTACTAATGGTGGACACTTAATTTGGATAACCCTGTATAACTTCAGCTAAATAATCATAATGCAACGCCCTATATAGTGCGGTAGGTCACAGGCAACTAGCTTGTCCATTTGGGTATTCAAGAGCACTGTGTCGTGTGATGCAAATTGTAGGTTGTATATGTTGTCAGTTAGTTGTCATGTAGTAGATTAGGGGTTTTGTCAGTTAGCTATCAAATAATGTAACACCTAAAACTTATTCTGTGGTTTTCATACTGATAATCTTTCATGCTTATCTGGCCGCCTAATCAAGCCACAATATGTTTGAAATACTCACGAAGACTAGAGATAGAAGGTTAAACTGCGTAAGGGATACACGTATTCGGATGAAGCCAATTCTGCCGGTAAGGATGGCGTAGATCGTCTGCGCATCGAAAAGTGTCAAAAGAAAAACAACATAACCTGCCGCAATCTTTAAGTGAATTTCACTCCCGTCGTGCTATGCTTTGTAGTCATATTACTTCGTGGTTTATTAATATTATATAATATTTCAGCTTGCAACTCTTCTGAACTGTCAAAATTTAAGTCCCTTACAGTCACGATGACAGCAACAGAAAGAGAGTCATACCATATGCGCAGTGTATGTACATACAACCTTCTGTCTCTAGTCTTCGCGGATATATGTTTTCTGATGACGACATTTCGGCTACAGTGGTGGCGTTGTCATCAGTAAACAACGATAATAGTATTTCAAACATATGTGGTTTCATTTAAAGCCAGAGAAGCATGGAGAATTAGCTGTCAGATAGCTGACAGTTTTATTTGTATCTAGATTTTTGGATGTTTCGCGAGTTCTGGTGTTTTCTAGGAAAGGATCTTCACATGTTATTAGGGTACATAAATGAGTGTGGCATTGTAGGTAATGTTAAGTAAGTTTTGTGAGTTTTTGAGCTAATAAAACGTAAAAATAAAGAAAAGCATTTCATTTGCGATAAGGAGAGGCTATCCGTGAAAATATTGATCATAGTATTTAATGTATAGCGAGTCAAACTGGACTTACGACTGTTTACTTCTCAGCTACTGATAAACGCATTGTTTAAGTGGAAAAAGTGCGAGTATGTTCTTGAATTTTGTAGTGCACCTAGTCTATACGATTTGTGGTGTGTACTCTTAAATTCGATTTGATTGCCGTGTGCAGTGTGATGTTCTCTTAATTGCACCACCAGTGAATTTCTGAGTAAAATATCCAAGCACAAACCACTCCACGCTGTCTAAACTGTATCCATCGAAGAAACAAAGTAAAATCAAACATATACACCCGTATTGCACGTGATCAAGAACTTAACCGTAGGAGACGCTACAGGGCCGTATCAAGCTATTGTGACTGATCTATCAAAAAATGTCGTACAAGATATGTGTTGCTGTAAATTCTATCAAAAGCATGGTAAATTATCAGGAATATACCACGCCTTTCTAATCATATTTCGACATTAGGAATCAGTGCAAAAAAATCTGTATTCACCATTTCAGCAAAATGTTACTAAAACGCACACGAAAAAAACTTGTGGACCATCTCAATTGAAATTGTTCATATTTTATTATTAACTTACATATATACCCAATAATATTTACAAATCAACCTTCTATTCACAATGCAGAGCAAATTTTTTTGAGCAAATAGAAACTACAGACGTAGTAGTAGTAGTTTAAATAAATTAACCCTAATTTTGTGTAATTATAAATTTGGAATTTCCACATTAATAACTAGAAAGTTACACTTTGATTGCAGTCTATAATGAACTTACCTGTCTTGCCAAAAAGCCCGTTAAACTGCCAGTCTTAATGGTATCAATCGATTTATATGCTGTATTCCGAGGAGCTTGAATCATCAGAATTGTTGATGTCAATTATAAGGGGTTCAACTTGGGTGTCAATGATATTGTCCATATCCCACATTTTGGTTTCAACCTTCTCTTGGACATGGTAAATACATGTTCTCCATTTTGCTGGCGTAATTCTATCGACAGCAACATCAAACAGTTTTTTAAGGTCAGAAAACTTAAAAGTGCTGTTATTTGACGCCACGTATTGCTTGATGTCGGCCCAAATCAACTCGATAGGATTCAGTTCGCAGTGATAGGGAGGCAGCCTGAGAATCGTTTTATTTTGGTTTTTGGCCATTTCGTCAACAATTTTTAAATCATATTTATACTTATGTCGCTTGACTATACGTATTTATCAGCTCAGCTTTGACCATTGTTTGGTCGAAGTCGATCTTCTTTGAGATAAGCCACTGTTGAATGTCTGCCTTTTTGGTGGCCATTGTTGGAATTTTTTCCAATTTTCTGGAGTGGTACGGGGCATTATCCATCACAATAATTGCGTTATCATCAAGTGTCGGCAACATTTTTTTGAACCAATTTTCAAATGAGTTACCATCCATTTCTTCGTGATAGTCTCCAGTTTTTTTGGATTCAAATGCCCACAATGCTTCAGGAACAAATCCATCTACGCTACCTATGTGGCAAATGATCAGGCGTTTTCCCTTGCCTGAAAGTAATTAGTTATTTTACTTCTCAGCGAGCGCACTAAATGACGAAATTAAGCAACTTACTCTTTTTAGGTTAGTGTAGGATAGGGTCTTAGATTAGTTTTTGGGTGAAGGAAATACTCAGAAACTTGGATGAGATAGCAAAACTGAGTTCGGAGCTTCCAAATCATTGATTCGATCAGAAAATGAATTATCTGCATCCAAAAAAGTTCATATACTTCGAAACTTACCTGCAGAATTTTTCAATCCCGTTGAAAGGCCATCTAAAAAAGCCTGCCTTGAGGACCTCACAGATCTGTCTACCCAAACCTTTCCCTGCGTATGCCCCGCGTTCACCCATGTTTCGTCTAAATAATAAATTTTTCTTCCTTCAGCGCGGAATTGCCTAATTTTTCTAAGGTATTCTCTCCTCCAGATAACAATTTCCTCCTTTTCTATCAATAAACTATTCCTTCCTCTTTTCAAAAATCGAAAGTCTAGTTCTTTCAACAGCTTATGGAACGTAGATCTTTTAAAATTTGGCAGGTCCTCATCATCATTCACTTGCTTCAATATTTTATCTATTGTAGGTATTTCATTCCTGAAGAAAAAGTGATGTACTTTTCTTCTAATGGCACTTTTGTCAGTCATCTATTTTTTCGAAGATTTTTTTTCTGGCTGGATATGTTTTTGGCTCAGATAGTGAGTGATTTTGTCTATATTCCTTCAAGATTTTGTAAACACTTGATCGACCTACTCCAGAAATTTCAGCAACCTTACATACGATATTTTCTATAGCCAATCCACTATTCTCTTGCATCTGGTTCTTGTAGATATTTAGAATAATTTGTTTTTCACCTGCGCTAAGATGAAGCTTTTTAGCCCTTTTTCTGGGTGACGTTAAGCTGATTTCACTTCATCAGCTGTATCTGTGTCAGACATTTTAGACTAATATTAAATTTCCGCAAGAAAAATCAAGTCAAGACGTGCATAAAACGTTCGCGCTCATAAACGGGTATCCGTAACTGATTACAATCCTGTGCGTGGTGACGAACCATCAACGTGACGCTGAGAGTTCCCTCTACTATGCAGCGTTGCCAGGCTTAATGTCACAATGATCATGTTTTATTGGGAAAATTGTCAGAAATCGCCGAATATTGAACAGAAACATTACAAGAAGACTAACCTTGAAATGTGAGTCTACAAATCGATATTCTTATAGGGGGGAAGGGTAGGGAGCTGTTATGGTTCCTATTAACCTTGGTGAAAGTTGGAAACGGTAATATCATATATGGCATACATTCGGTTGAAGGTGTGTGCACGGAAAATAGATTGTGGATAGGATTTTAATAGATAAATCTGCACAAAAAAACACAAAAGGAGATTTTTGTATTTCCCTGAAGAATATCTCAAGGTTATTTCAGATGTACTCATCGAAACTTTATGGAAGGATTATCGAAACCTTATTTTCAATTGCGATAGGGCCACATACCTCGACATCGCATTAATGTGAAAAATAAGACAATAGAAAAAAAATCCCTCACTGATGCTATCTCTTAGGAAAAATTTAACTATAAAGATTGCACAAAAATTTTCTTCACCTTTTTGAGCTTGTTTTCGCATCTCCGTATATGCCGTTCATAATTTGCTGCAGATCAAATTGGAATATACCTTTGTGATGCCATTTATTGTTATATAATGTCCTTTACAACAGTTATTGCACGTATTGCACCAACAGATTGATTTGTGATCCATGCGAATGTGATCAACCACTCTGGCGAAAACTCGCCGAGCGTGGCAACCTTGCGACTTTGTCTGGAGGCTCGTCGCTACAAGCCAATCAGGAAGAGGCCGACAGAGCGCCATGGCTACCGATCACGCGTTGATCACGAATCAACCACTGTTTACGATTACTGTGTAGCTTCGTTAGATACACTTTAGTTGTTTTTCGACTCAGCGGCGTGCGCTCAGTTCCAATGGTTGAGGTAGCAGTATGTCTGGTAAAAATAAGCACCCAGACATAAACCTACGATGTGAGGCTTGTGAAGAGGATATCCGTAAAGGCAGTGCAAAGATAAAATGTTGTAATCTAAATTGTGAAGTTACCCTACATCAGAAATGCTTCTCATCGATTGCTAAAGTTATAAAATTAGAAAAATCCGACTGGCTGTGCAAGAACTGCGATGAAGATAGTGGCACATCAACCACAACCGTGATATCGTATAGCGATGGAGATGTAATTAAAGAGCTTGCTAAAGTGAAGAGTGATGTTCGGTTACTAACTGATCTTGTGAATGAGTTATAATCTACTAACAAAATTTTGCTCAATAAAATTGAACAAATTACATCCAGCAGGTTTCCCGATGTACAAATACAGCAGAATACTGAACTTCCCGTACTTTATAGTCAGGTTGTATCAAAAACTGTAAGCAATCATTCCAAGTCTGTTTTAATTATTACGTCAAATGATCAAAAAGAATCAAACTCCGAGCTTTTAAATACTGTTAAAGCGAATGTTAACCCTGCTGCCTAGAAAATAGGTATCAATGGTGTTAAGCTTATAAACAATAGAATGTTGATTAGTTGCTCTAGCGAAGAATCTTTAGAAAAACTTAAGGGTGTAGTTCAGAATAAGTTTAATAGTAAGTATAAGGTAACAGCTCCCAAACCCTTCAAACCTCGTCTCTTGATTACTGATGTTGATAAATCACTAGATGATAGAAACACTTTCCTCGAATCAATAGTCCAAAATAATGATTACTTGGCTGATTGTGATATAAAGGTGATATCTGTTCTAAAGTTAAAATATTCATTGAGTTAGGTAGTATAGGTTGATCCTGATGTGAGGAAAACCATAATTACTCGTGGCTTTTTTTATACCTCTTGGAAAAAGTGTTTTGTCCGTGGCCATATTTCAGTAATTAGATGCTTTAGCTGCTCTCGATTCGGTCATTTGAAAAAATATTGCAAAGATAAGTCTGTGTGCTCGCTATGTTCTAATGACCATGATGAGAAAGATTTTAACTCTGTTAATAATAAATGTGTGAATTGCTGTGTATATAATAATTATATGAAAAGTCATTCTGGAGATTTTAAGCCATATTCAGTCGATCATGCTGCATCAGACAGACAATGTCCATGTTTTTTAAAGAAATATGCTGAATTAACATCTAGAATTGACTATAGCTAGGCTTAATATCAAAGTTTTAAATATTTGTCATCTCAATGTGCGGTCCTTGACTACTGCTTTCGACTGTTTTTGTAGATTGGTTCAAAACAAATTCAATGTTATATGCATTATCGAAACGTGGCTTAATCAAAACATTTCTAGTCAAGCTGTACCTATAGAAGGCTACCAGTTTTTCCGTAGAGATCGTTTGGGTAGGGGTGGAGGGGTGGGCTTCTATATAAGAAATAATTTCAACATTACCGTTATTGATACCCTTGATTTTGCAGGTGACTCTTCCTTAGAATTGCTATGCTGCAAACTCAGCATGGGCAAACTCTACCCTACTTATTGTCGTCGTGTATCGCCCTCCTCATACTTCAATTACAGATAGCATTGATACCAGTGATGATATACTTTTTTTCTTCGTACCTCAATATGATAATATAATAATACTTGGTGACATAAATGTTGACCTTTTGAATCATGACAATCCTTTGAGCAACTGTTTCGATAGCTTCAATTTTGATCAATTAATAAATGAACCAACTCGTGTAACTGAGCTTAGCTCAACTCTAATACACCCCATTTTTTCTAGCAATTCAAAAAGTGTTGTAAAATTAGGAGTACTTAATGCTGATATTGTGTCCGACCACAAGTTAGTTTTCTGTGCTGTTGTTCTGAAGCTTCCTAAATTTGAACCCAAGATAGTAACTTTTAGAGATATAAAAAATATTGATGTTATTAATTTCAAGGGCGACTTACTTCATGCTGGACTTGATCGTATCTTTTACTTTATGGATGTTGATGGCAAAGTAAGCTGTCTCTCTAGTTGCATAATACAAATATATGATATGCACGCGCCATTACGAACTGCTCGTGTAACACAACCGGCTGCTCTATAGATAACATCGAAACATCGAACATGAAGTGCATCTTTAGGGAACGCAACAAAGCTCTCTTGAATTTCTGTCATGACCCATCTGATGTGAACTGGTCCACTTATAAAGATATGCGGAATTACGCACTCACTTCCTTTCGTAGGGAGAAGAGCGAGGGCCTACCTTTCTAGATATGGTGATATTAGTACACGATCAGCATGGAAAACACTTAGATCTATGAATGTCTGTCAACCGAAATGAGTTGATGTACCGTTTAATCTGCTAGATCCCCGTGAAGTCAACGAATACTTTTTAAGCACTTTTATGCCTGCCGATCAAAACCTCAAAGTAGTACAATCCACTGTCAACAGCTACAGCAACAGACGCTTCGATCCCGACGTGTCATCATGTTACTGTCGTCTGGTAACCCATCGTGAAGTTATGAATGCAGTCTTGTCTATCAAATCTGAAGCAGCGGGTTGTGATGGCATCACTCTAACTATGCTAGGCTTATGCCTGCCTGAAATACTTGATCACATATTATTAATATTTGCTTAGAAAGGGGCGTTTTCCCATCCAACTGGAAGGAGGCAATAGTCACACCTCTAGCCAAAAGTAATAATCCGTCGGAACATGCCGATCTTAGACCTATAAGTGGTTTATGTTTCTTGTCGAAAGTCTTGGAGAAGATAGTATACCAACAGCTTGTTGAGTATTTTGCTAATAATAATTTCTTTCCAGTACACCAATCTGGTTTTCGTGAAGGTCACAGTACGACTACTGCACTACTACATCTTGCAGATGAGATACTTTCCAACCTTGACAACAAATCCGGCACGCTGTTGGTCATGCTTGATTTTTCCAAAGCTTTCGATAAGGTCAATCATGAGACTCTTTTGAGTAAGCTAAAATATTATGGCATGTCGGAAGATCTTTTGAATTTCTTCAGATCGTACCTAACTGATCGCACCCAAAGAGTGAAAACATCTAGAGGAACTTCTGATGCACGGTATCTGTCATCAGGAGTTCCACAGGGTTCAGTACTGGGATCTCTTTTATTCCTAGTATACACATTCGATCTGCATGAGTGTGAAGAACATTTTTGCATTCAAATGTATGCTGACGATACTCAGCTAAGATTTCGTTTCAATGAATCCAACTTACATGAAGTATCGTATAAAATTAACCTAGATCTTGATAACGTATTAACGTATTGTAATAGACACTGTCTCCGCCTCAATCCATCAAAATGCACCGCGATACCATACTGTCCTAGACATTCAAATTACAATATCACAAATCGAGTCTCCTTATTTATCAACGACATAAATATTCCATTTTTTGATAATGCTAAGAATCTAGGTCAAAATTGCAGAAGCTTCAGAACAACTATTGCAGATTCATATTTGGTCTTAGGAAGTACAGAAGCGTTTCTTCAAAAATCAAGGAGTTACAGTGGCTCAGAGTTGACGGCTTACACAACTACTCTATGGCTTCATTGGTGCATAGAATTTTTAAAACTGGTAAACCCGTCTATTTACTCTGTAAGTTGATTCCTCGTGGAAACCAAATTACTCTAAATCTGCGGCACAATGATCTACTTTCCATTCCTATACATCGGACGTCGGTCTTTGAAAAGTCCTTTACCTATAATGCGGTCAAGGTATACAATTCTTTACCAGCTATCTCTAAGAGCTTAAGTTTGCAGCGCTTCACGAAGACAATCAAGTTGCATTTTCTAAACTCAGCACATTGAGTGATGAATTCATTTTGTTGAACGATATCTTGTTCTTTTGTTACTTTTTTTTTGTATATGTTCATATTATATATTTACTCCTTTTTAATGCATTCCTCACAGCTACTGATTCATGTTGTTATGCTAATGTTTTGTGATGTCTGGTTGTAGTATGGTTGAGTGGTAGAGTAGCCATGGCTATACTTCGCCATGCTATGATCATTTTCTGAATAAAGTCATTATTATTATTATTATTATTATTATTATTATGAACAAAACTCAGATATTGACTTAATAACATGTCTCATGTTTCAATGTTGCAAGTTAAAATTGATACGGAAACCAATGCAGAGCGAACACAATAGAAAAACCCACATGCTTGTTTGACAACCAATATATCGTATTTTTTCAAAAAAAAAAAAGATTTTGCAAGATAGGTGTGCGTGTGACTATTTCTTTACTATCTATATGGACAGTTATTTAAAATATATAAACACTGGATACTGTACTCGCCTATAGAATAACTTTTGCAGTTGGTGAATTTAGAATCGGGAATCGGGATTCGAACCCGCATCTCCTCCATTCAAAGAGATGTGATACCTTCCACTACTTATTCACTATCCTAGCACGCTGGTGCCATGGTAAGTACACCGAAGGACAGCGTGGTGCAACTAGGTAGCGATTGGAGATACCTGACCCATCCGGTTTGTTTCACTTGATCGCCGCCAGATGGGGATGAATCAGCTTGAAAGAACAAAGGAGCAGTGGCATGGGTAGGATTGACTTTGCCGCTAACAATCCATCCCGAAAGTTGGTGCTGTGGACGTGGACTAATTGGTTAGGTCGGCTCCACGAAATGGATGAGATGCTACCTATTTTTCCTATCTATCAAGTTGTTGTTTACTAAACCTACTATTTACACTTGGTAGGAATGGAGTTTCAGATAATGCAGAGTCGATGAGGCCAGGGGTTACCTTAAGGAGAAGGGTTTGATTCAGGGCGCTTTGCTGGCAAATCAAATATCAAATGGTCTTAGTGCTGCAGTTACCTGAATACATCGCGTCCATTAATTTATCACAACACAAACCGCCAAAGCAGGCATTTACTGTAGTTCACTCGTCTAGGTTGAAAATCTCACCAGGATCAAATGTGGTCAGTTTGTGAGGTGAGGTAACTTAATCTACGTTTTCTCAGACGCTTGTATATTTTGAATGTACTCATGCGCTCGCATGTGACCGACTAACGCCCAAATGGACAATCGCAACATATTCCCAGTAGTCCATTCAACGACTGCCCACTTGTCGGACAAAGTACGAAATTCCGCAGATATGCGGCAGCCGCCGGCGACTGCATGATTGACCTGCAACAAACCAGCCTTCTTGATCATAGCAGCATTTCCGGTGTAGTAGCTGCCGTTGAAAGAGAAGGACCACATGCGTTTACGTGACTTTGAATGAGCCGCCAAGCCCGAAAACATGAATGAACTTTGGGTGGCTTTTATTTTCTATGTGTGCGTCTTGATG